TTCCTGGCTAGATTCTTATAATATGTGTTTACAAAGCTGAGTCAGTGTTAACTTAAGCATTTAAAGTATACCTGTGATGAAATATGATAAGGAAATGTAGTAGTGCCACTCAAATATAATTAGAAATATTTTGATTAACATAATAAAATATTTTTAAATACATTGTTTAACGGCACAAATTTCATGGTGATTAATGCATCATTCTCTAACTTGATCTTGAACCCTATTTAAATAAAGGGAGAATTCAAATAGTTAAGTTTAGTTATGTCTAAACGGTCACTTTCAAATTGACATGGATTAGGTATGGTATGTGATCATATCATGCTGGATCATGAATTTAAAATGCTCAGAGTGAGTCAAAAAGCACTTGATTCTATTTCTGAAGTGTTCGTTATGTTTGCAACAATGAGCAGGACCTGTTGTAGCTGCAAAGAACAGGAAGATAAAGTTTCACTACTGAACAGGAAAGATAGAATTAGAGACAACACAAATAAAGACAGTATGTTCCGTGACTGCTTTGAAAGTTCTGTGTAACTTAAGAACTAGGAGGAAAATGAAAGATTAGGTGTAGTAATTTGAAAAATGGATAATAATAAAATAGCAATCATAGTTACCATGTATCAATTTCTTGCTGCATGCCAGGCACTATGCTAAAATTTTATGTTAACCCAGTAGTCATCTCCATAACAATTAAGTCAGAATGGTGGAAGAGGGAAGCATCAATACTTTTTTAAAGATTCCCCCAGATAATTCAATCGGAACCATTCAACAACCCTGCAAGGTAAATATTCTCTTGCTATTTCTCTTTTATGAAGGGAGAAAGTGAGTCCCAGAGAGGTAATGTAGCTTGGCCAAGGTCAAAGGGTCTAAAAGTTGACATGATTCCAGATGGTCTGATTATAGAACCCTTGATCTTAATCACTTGCAGTGCCTCCCCAGCGCTTCAGGGCCATTTGTGATGAGTAGCTTTGATTTTTATGAATTTAAGGAAGTTTCCAATGCATCTCTTAAAAACAACCATTTCAGGGACCTCCCTGGTGGTGGTCCAGGGACTAAGACTCCATGCTCCCAAGGCGGGGGCCCCAGGTTTGATCCCTGGTCAGGAAATTAGATCCCTCATCTGCAACTAAGACCCAATATAGCCAAAAAATAAACAACTGAGCACCTTAAAAATATATAAGATAAAAATTATCATTTTAGGAGGTTATAATCTATTTCTGTGGCTTAGCCAGCATTAGTGATGATGGTGTCCCTGAGCAGTACCCATCTCTTCCATGCATAACTTGTCAACACTGCCCTTCTCTCTGCCTCGTTCCTTAACCCTCCAAATATTACTATTTCTGTTCACCTTCAGAGCTCACCTTAGCCCATGTCAGGAAACTGGTTGCATTTGTGAAAGGAAGAGGCCCAGTGGCAAAGCAGAGCAGAGCAGCACTGAGGTTGTTACTGAAGCCCCATTCACCCCACCCAGGTTTTTCATAGTTAATTTTCCGGTTGTCCATTACAAAGGCTTCTTTTGTTCAGGCTCTCCTGCAGAGTCCTCAGATGTCTTTCTACCTTCAACCTAAACCTAAATTCATGTTATCTTATGGGTCTAGTTTTCTGCTTAGCTTGGCCATTCTCACCATATGCCTTTAGTCAAGAGGTTTATACTCTCCTCTAGACTACTGTACTGCGTGCTCTTCTAGATGGAATTTGGAGGTTTGCTTGGCTACATCTCTGGTTCTTTGGCACAGCGTCGCTCTACATTTAAGTCCACGCGTGGACTTCTGCCGACTGCTGCCCTATTTCTAGACCTTCAACGCCACGTGACCACTAGCTTCTACAACCCCTTATGAACATGGTGTTCTCCTGTGAATGGATCCTGTCCGTATGGGCCATCTCAGGTACAACTGTCCCAATCCAAGCAGTTGCCTTTCACCTATAATTTGGGGTGGCGGGGGGCGGGGGGATATTTCAGTATTTAATTCCTGTATAGCAGCTGTGTATCTAGCGCCAGAAGAGATTTAATGAGCTGGGCACTTGGGCCTAAGCACTCACACGAATGTGAAACCCTCCTATGGAGAATGTGACTGCCTTCTTTGTTTTTCATTTATTTTTAATTGGAAGAGAATTGCTTTACAGTGTCATGTTGGTTTGTGCCATACACCACCACAGATCAGTTATAAGCACGTATATATATCCCCCACCCCCCAAGCCTCCCTCCTGCCCCCACCATCTCAGCCCTCTAGGTCATCGCGGAGCGCGGAGTTCGGCTCCCTGGTCTTCAGCAGTTTCCCGCCAGCTCGGTTCTCCACGTGGTGATGTACACACATCAGTGCCCCTCTTCTAGTGCATCCCACCGTCTCCTTGCTTACTGCGTCCACGAGTCTGCATCTCGATTCCTGCCCTGCAACGGACGCTTTTTTATTTCCTAGGCGATGTGTTTATGACCACGGCACAAGCAGTGATTGCAGTAGTTAAAATTTCCCTCCAGTGAACCATGCTCACTGCAAGTGGAATCACACAGGCCCACCTGAAGCCACAGTTTAACCCAACCATCAGGCTCTGCTGAATTCCAAGGGCAGAGATTTAACAGCCGGGCTCCACCAAGGGGCCAACGTGACTGAGAGCAGCGGTTACAATTTCCCTAACAGCCTAGTGGCTTCCCACCAGTATGAATGAAGCTTTAGGTTTATTATTTATCTGTTAAAAAAGAAATTCTCTGTTTTGTCATCATGAAACCCACTTGCTTCAGTAAATTGTTCCTGAAAGACATAAATAGGCCACTAATAGTAGCAGATTTTATCTGTGTTCTAATCTGCCACTGCTGATTTCCATAAAACAGTACACTCAAGGGCAGGCTATATGTTTTTCCTAACATTTAATTAGCAAAAGAAAAATATCACATGAATTAAAAAAAAACAACAGCTCACACAACAGAAAAAGAGAACCACGGGGCTGCTTTCTCAGAAGACACGGAAGAGTAACTTTTGCTACTCCTGGTAGTTCTGGCTACCTTGGTTCCCTCAGCACCCCAACCACCAGCGGAGGTGAGGTGGAGGTTGAGGGTAGGATAGAAGAGCTGAGGATGACAAGTGTGCAGCGCAAGTGCAGACAACCCCGACGGTGTCTGGCCGCAGGGCTTCGAAGGCGAGCTCCCCACGTCCTGGCCCAGGTCGGCTCCAGCACACACCTGTATTTTGCTTTTGTAGGGTTCAGAGTACCTGAGGCCCTTTAACAACCAAGTCCAACTCCTAAGAAGTTCAGAGGGGGACGCTGTGGCCCTGTGTGGCCTCACACAGCCACAATCTCAGAGTAGCTTCAGATTCGCTGCCCACCCCGAGCGCTGCATTGCGGGGAGCAGCCACGGGAGGACCGTGTGCTGGACGCGGAGCCATGGCCAGTCATGGCCCAAGGCCACTTTAGAGTCACTTCAACAAGGCCCCGGTGTTGTTTTGAAAGGTCAAGAGAAAAGTCAAAACAAATCCTTTAACATTTAAATCTCTATGTTTTCTCATTCCTGTATCTTTTCATGATATTATGCAACAGACTTTGAATACTTAAAGTGGATATGTTCTGTCAAGTTTCCAAATCTTGAATAATAACATTTTTCTCCAGAACACAGACTATTTCACATAGTAAGGCGACTGCCTCAGACTCATCAGTGAATGGAGTAAGAAAAATAGCAAAATCTCATTGCTGACTGTCCCACAGGTTCACAGGTTTGCTGACATGTTAAGTGGCTATTTCCTATATGAAGCTGTGCCTCGTTAAAATTTAGATTGTCATTGAACTTCAGGGTCATCCCAAAGTGTAAACTCCATGAATGTCTAGGGTCTGTAATAAGAAACTAGACGGCTAAAACAGGGTCCCATTCCGTGAGCTGAGGACCCCAGGTGGTTGCTGCAGCAATAATTCCTTCTGAACAATAAGCATTGCCTGGAGAATGAGTAGCTCAAATTACCGTTTTTCAGATGCATGTATACGCTGTTGTGATTAGTAAAAATAGTACAATGGCTTTTTGTCACTGTATTTTTTCAATTAAAAATACCCAAAAGTACTCTCACTAATTGGAGAGGAGCTAGATGTTTTGATGTTACTCAAAAAGTTTGTGAACACCTGCTCTAGACAGTCACCCCAGGGTAGCTACTCCCTTGAGTAGCTTGAATAGTTGAGTCCAATGAAAAGAACAGAAATGCTATGCAAAACTCAACCCGTAACAGAACTGTATTAATTATAAAGTAATGCACTTATTTCTACCGCAGTAAATTGTACAAAACAAGCATTTACTACAAAGGAGACTTTGCCATCCCTGACCAAATACCAAGCACCACAGTCACACAAAGTAGCACTCAGTGAATGAGCAAATTTCTTCACCTTGGAACTTCGGCTTTCACCGTCTGTGAAAACTGAAAAATGCAAAGCCACTTGGGAGACCAGGTCTCACTTCAATTGAATTTTTAATTCACCATTTAAAAAGCTCTCTCTCCCTCACACACACACACACACACACACACACACACACACACACTCAAGAGTGAGTCATCTCACGGCCCGTGTGTCTGCTGTGTGTGCGCATAAACGTTTATCCCTCTGAATCAAGTCATCATTACTCCAGTATTGAAATATTCTCTGATTGCCTGATTTCCAGTGCCAGTCTCCTGGGGTAGTTAGGCAAATAAAATTTCATTTACAGAAAGACTGTGATTCAGAATCGATAAAAAGAATTTCTTTTTTTTCCCTTAAGAGTTCTCCCCTCCTGCACCTAAAATACATCAAACAGCACTTAAAGCGTCAGAGGAAAGAAGCAGATTTTTCAAAAGCACTGGGCAGTGGGGTGGCAACACATGATTCAGAGTTTCCCTCCGGGCATGAGAGGTTAGTGGAGAGTCAAAACCCCACTTGGCGTCAGTTAACACCGGACGATGAATTTCCATATCATTATGTTTGACAAGACAGACACGCATGAATGCATGAAACGCGCAAAAATAATAACACTTCAATCTCAGGTACACAAATATACTTAAGAAAGAGAAGTTTTATTAGGGCAATTTCACTTTATTTTTCCATACAGCAAAGTCAACTACTGCAGTAATAATAAAATAAGCATAAAACAAATTGCAGCCCAAGACAAAATACATAATTTTAAGCAACTACAAGCAGAAAGTAAGTTGTGATTACATAATAGTAAAATCAAGCACACCTGTCCTTTCAGCAGGTGAAAGTGTAGGGTTGCTGATAAGTGCAACATTATAACCAGCTGGAGTGAAGGTTGGATACACTAATTCAGTAAACAAGTGCCCATTATCACATTGGCTTTTTTGAGTGCTTCTGAGTTGAAAATTAAAACCGTGAAAATTGAACTGTCTTTTACCTTTTTCACCTGCTGAAAGAACAGGCTCCTACCGCAATTAAAAAACAATCACATAACAACTATAGCTACTGTGTGCTGTTTGGTTTGCCTGTTTATGGGTGAAATTTTGTGAAAGTCAATACTTGTTTTGAAGATTTTTTTTCTTTCTTTTTTTTTTTTTTGTGAACAGTAAACCACTGAAATTGGCAGAAACTGATTTGAATAGTATATGTCCTTAGTATAGTTCTTTCTCTCTCTTTTTTTTTTTGTTGTTTTGTTGAAGTTTTAAACATGCAGTAGTTTTTTGAAAAATGTAAGGAATATCTGATCCATGATTTCACCTTAATGGTTGAAGGACCTGCTATTTTTGGTAATGATCTTCAGGCAGATTTGGCCCAATGGAGTTTTTGTCAGTCATGAGATCTTGGAAGGATGGCATATCTTTCCAGCTGAAAAAATCCTGGCAAACTACAAGCTGTCCACAAAAAAGCAAAGCAACATGTTTGAAGGGGTATGGAGTGCTAACTCTGTGCCACTTTTGCAAGCAATTTTGCTCAGTCTGTCATTTTATTAGCCTTAACAAAACTCCTTGTAATTATAGACGTTTTTATTCAAAATAAGATCTTACTATTATACAGGTTTCTCTCTTTTGACTATATACAGAAGTGCAAAAAGTCAACCTTCTCTCTAGACGTTCCAACATGCTAAATTGCAGCATAATCAACCCTCAAGAGTTTGCACACACGCTATAATTCTCATTACGTAAACTTTGAGTATTTGGATTATCAACAAAAAGTCCCTTGTTCTATTTATTGATTATGCAGCTTATTTATAACAAGGCCTGATATTCAGGGATTTCAAAAATATTAAACAATACTTTAACATTTGAAATGGATACAGTAGAAAATAAATTTTATTCTAATATCTAGGATCTAGATCTTCTTATAATAACTAATTACAAACAAAATAAATCATCAAAATATTACTCAATTGTCTGCCAGGATTGTTGCGATAGCAACAACTTAACTTCTTACTTAGCAATGATTATATATTTATAAGATATCCATATAAAAGATCTTTGTTCTTTTAATGAAAACTAGACAAGAACTAACAATGACTGACATTCTTACACTTTTAATATTAAATCAGTAAAATATAAATCATTTAGTTAACAATACGAATATTCATATGACACTACATGTAATTCAAAACTGAGTATGTTATGAAGGAAAAAACTACTTTAATTTTTTTTTGTATTTTGAAAAGTTCATCGGTAAAATCTACTAAAACAAGAGTCTATAAACTGAAATGGTATTCAATTGTTAATAGAAAATGAAATCTAATAAATGTAGGAAATGAAAAACTACACTTTAACAAGAAAAATAAGTAATATTCTATAATGTAACTAACTACAATAACATGTGGAGTCACCATTACTCTCTTAACACGATTGAAATTACATTGGTATGGGTTCCAACCCGTAATGTAATAATCTAAGGCTTTAATAGATGTACAGTACAATCAGTAAAATCAACACATCAGTCTTATATTAGAAAGCATCTCTCTCAAGCATAAAAACTTGCAGTAAACTTGGAAGTATGGAAAGTTCTAGAACTGAACTTTCACTTCTCCCATTCCATACTAGAACTACCAGTGACCTGGCCCCTACTTCAGCAATTTTTAGAACTGCTGAACAGAGCAAAAATATCCTTTACTAGCTGCAACATCCAAACCACAAAAAAGGAATTCCTTTGGATGAATCCATTCTTAAAAACTGAATGCACATCTATTTTTTTTTAATTTGTAAAAGGCTTTCTAAGGCTATAAGCAGTAAATCTGAACAAAACGAAACAAAACAAATCACATATAAAATTCACCCATGTACTTAACCCACCCAATGACTAGATTACTTAAACATTTCCCATTTTCATGTTTTGGTTTATCATGCATCTGATGACAGTGCTGCTGTCTTCTCTGTTTAGAGTCACTATTTTAAATGTGACTGTGACGAAGCATTTAAGCAAATGTGAAACCATTTTTGCAAAGCATTTAGAGTCTTTTGACTTTTGACAGAGCTATAAATAGAAGCAAAATAATTTCCTCAAACTTTTTTTTTGTTATCGTGTCTCAGAAATGGCATATCCCTTTTGAATAACATGTTATACAGTATAGTAGGCATAAATATTACACTACGATGCATTAAAATAATTTTTATATATATCTATTATATATAATCTCCAGTATGTGTGAGTTTATCTGTATTGAGAGTCTGTGTTGTGCTGTCTATTTTGTTACTGTAAAGTTAAATCGGCCATTTCTGAGACAGCTTTGGTTTCCAAAAAAAAAAAAAAAAAAAGAATGGTGCCCTTTGACTGATTAGTACTAGCAAATAAGCAACAAAATGTGGCTCTGAAAACAATAACACTGAAGAAATAATACTCTACTTTGATGTACAGTCTATGGCACTTCATGAGAATCCTTAACAACATGGTACTTAAAGCCATGATGTGCTTTAAAAGATACACAGTTGTGGTTTTGCTTGGCACATTCATCTCTGTCAGATCCCTCCCTCACCACATCTTAAAATCTATTACATTAAAAATATTACTCAAACAAAAATGACTGTGCATGCACGCTCTCATCTATAATGGCAATTTTAAATACAAGGTGCACCTTTGTTATTTGTAAACCTTGAAAGAAATAAACTTATTTTTAAAAAATTATATCTTGGTCTACAGACGTACCAATACATAATAGAATCATGGTTACACCATAGTCTGTCTTTTCAAGATGGCATGAATATATAGGAAACTAATTAGGTCTGCATATTTGAATGCATCACTCTGTGCTAGAAAAGAAAGACAATGTTGTTCTTTTAGACAGGAGTATCACCTCAGCACAAATATCAATTAAATGTACAAAGTGTGTAGGCAACAGTGTGCGGTGGGTTTCCATGTTGACTTTTCTTCTGGTTAACATGCAGTGTGCGGATGTCTTGTGGCTGAGGGGTTTTTGTATGAGGTTGCTTGACGGTATATACAATATGGCTAATGACCTCGTCTTTACTCTATAACCAGGCACACTGTCCTTTCCTCTTTAGTACGATCTGCAAGGGAAAGAGAGATACCCTCCCGTTAACACAGACGACAGCAGCTTCCCAGACACATTCAACATGAAAATCGTATTTCTTGGTTTAAAGAGTGAACACAGCAGGGGCAGCACCTTCATGTAAAAACAAAAAACACATCGCAGGTACAAAGGACCAAAATGTGCTTATTGTCTCTTTGAGAATAAAATGACACCCACAGCTTCTCAAAATTCTAGTCTCTGAACAAACAAACAGCCAATACACAGCTTAAAATATAAAATACATTTGCAGAATCAAGGGGCATAACACAGTAGAGCTCTTTTTAGCACTATCATTGTGGGACAGAATTTACAACTCACTTTACTTCTTTCTAAAGTTTAATAGGTTTCAGAAGTAATGATTTGGCCCACAAAATTAAAATCCATGCAACTGTCCTATTAAACACAAGTTGCTCTATGTGGATGCTTGATTAACACAGTATGTGTTTGCAAAAAAAAAACAAAAAACACGATGATACTCTAAGTGACTGCTTTGGATAATTTATAGTTTGGATTTTTTCTCCTAAAGGCCAAGAAAAAGAAAAATCATTCCTTATGCTCCTGACAAATTCAGGTTGAACTGATATTACAATGTACTTGTGACTTAATAATTCCAGCTGCTAAATGAAATTTGTTCCCATAGAATCTTTACATATTCAACTATGCTTTAGTATACAACTTGAGAATTCAAAAAATCACCATTTTGCTCAAAAACCAGCTTAAATATTTTCCACTCAAAAACCAGTTTAAATATTGCAGCTTCTCATGAAAATGTCTAAGTATTTGTTAAATAAACAGAACCTTAAAGAGCTTAAGTTTCAATACTGACAAATCTACTGTTTTGCTAACTGATGGAACCCCAATCCATTTTGCATCTTTTTTTTCTGAACCTGGATTATTGCTAAGAAACAGTACTTGTTTACATATATACATACCCAACTGATCATAACAGCTTGAAATGTTTTTTTTTTTAACATGTCAAAAGAACTCTACTTCCAAACCTACGTACTACAAAGCAATGTACTATTATATTGTACAGAATAATAAACCTTGTTATCAGAACTGCACTGAGAGCTTATGAAACAGAAATCAGTTTCAGTAATTTAATTCATGACTGCAGCATGTCTTTGGTAGTACATCTTGGATTGAGTTTATCATTCCTTTATTTCAAGTTGTGTCTGTCATCTTCTCCTGTATGAGTTAATCCTCTGACAAGCTCTTCCTATGGATTATTATTACAAGGGGGCCTCTGAACTGGTTCCCTGACACCACCTCCTGATTCAACACCCTGTCCCTTCTTCTACAAGGCTCTGATATCTCCTTTCTCTCTACATCAACCTTCACTGTCCAAATTCACTTAATTTCTGACTCATTTAGGAAGAGCTGCTCCTTCATCTTTGTTCCTAGAGGAATTTGTTCAAAGCTCTCTTATTTTAATGAAGAGTGCTAAAATTTACATCATCATCTCATTGACTGTCGATCTTTATTTCATCGACCTGGTAACTAACACACAGTAGCTAACACAAAAAAGTCATTTATAAATGTGTTAATGCACAGATGAATGAATGAAAGGAAGCAACAAAGAAAGAATGATCACCCATCTTATTCACCAGATTCAGTTTTAAGCATCGTAGCTCTTCTTAAATATAAAAAGAAATACCCAATATAATTCTGAGCAGGTAGATAACCTGAATCAATGTGTAAGAATAAAACATGCTCTAAAAGGATGAAACATGGTCATCTTTGCAAGTCAATGTGTCTGAAAGGAAACCACGAGACTTTCAAACTATTTGAGCAAATATCCAGGTAGATGTGTGAGTGGGTGTGTATGTGTGTGCATATATGAATGCATGAATGTATTTAAATCAGGCTCTTTATATTCTAATGACCCTGATGTGGTGAAGCACCGGGTAAACTGGCTACATGTTCTCATTTAGGATTTAGCAAGACAATTTTTGAATAAAATAAACGCTGACCTATGCCAGGGATCAGCAAACTATTGCCTGTAAGCTAAATCCTGCCTACCTATTTTTGTGTGTGTCCAACTTTTTGTGACCTTATGATCCATAACCCATCACGCTCCTTGGTCCACGGGATTTTCCAGGCAAGAATACTGGAGTGGGTTTCCATGCCCTCCCCCAGGGGACCTTCCCAGCCCAGAGATCTAACCTGTGTCTCTTATGTCTCCTGCATTGGCAGGTGGATTCTTTGCCATTAGCACTACCAATAGCTAATTGGGACACGGCACACCCTTTGATTTACACACCATATCTGGCTGCTTTCACGCTATATCGGCAGAGTAGCCCTATGGCCCACACAACCAAAAGTATTTACTGTCTCATCTTTGAAGAAAAAGCTTGCCAATCCCTAATCTACGCCTTCTATTTAGTTTTAAGCTGTATTTTTCCTTCACGACTGTGCTTATTTCTAGGACAAAATTTTTTAAAATATATATATCCTCAGTATTATGCATATTTAAATTACATGAGCATATTTCTTATAGATTCATACATTAAAATTCCTCATAACCCATCTAAGATAAAATTGCGAGTTCTATATAAATACAGTTTTTTGAAATTCTGCAAAATTTTCTTAAGTGCATTACACAATTGTTATCTTAGAAAAAACCACCACGAATATACACTCAATATTACATAATGAACTTACTGTTTAGTGATGAAAATTCTACATCTGGGTAACATACTTGTGGCTAGTCAGATGTTCGGCAGATATTATGGGTATCTAGCAAATAAAAAATTATTTAATGAATGATCCATGCAAGCAAGCCAACAACCAAGAGATGAAAACATCTTAATATTAAATTTTTTAAGAAAGTGAAATTCAGCTGTGAGGTGACAGTCCTTATCTGATCAACATAACAGTAAGTTAATGTAAACTTAATGCCAAAGTAGCAACTCATTGTTTAAAATCTTTGTGTTAAATACTATTCTATAAATGTTATCAGTTTTTAGGAAGTAAGAGAAGTAAAACTATCAAAAATTCATGCAGAGCAGTAATTGAAAGAAGCCCTTTTTGTTGGCCTACACACACACACCTGTGGTTTCAGTTATTCAGTATTCTAGAAAGCAAAGTAGGCAATGTCTTGCCTATTTTTGTGCAACCAATTTCTATATTTTCATTCAACTTATGGTATCTAACATTTTTTTCCAAGTTAAAAATACCAGGTAATAATTATAAAGGAGTATTTCAAAAGAACCGGATAAAAGCATGGAAGTCTACTTGGGAACATATTCCTGAATCCTGATTGCACGTTTTATTGCACTTTAAATGGGTAAGAAAATTACAAAACTTGACAGAAAACACAATAAGGAACCAATATAGAGGGGACTTGTTTCAATCATCCCAAGAGCCAACATCTTCCAATTTGTAGCCCGATTCTCCTCTGCCCGGAATGATGACTGCTATACTGGGAGAGGCAACACAGCGCAGGTTCAACCCCTAGGGACCCATTTCTGGGTGTGTAAACATGAGCAAAGCACTTCATTACTCTATACTTAGGTTTATCTCTAAACTGGCACTAATCTCATTTCAGCAAGGTTGATGGGAGAAGAGTGAAATCACATACATGAAGGCATTTTGTTGCTGTTTCCATCGAGATGTCCTAGACTAACTCAACATACTACAGTCCACAGTCTGGAGTGTAAATTAATATGTCTCTTTTATTTCCATTTCTCAGCTGACATCTTTACACAATTTTACAGCACTGGCAAATGGCACGAAAATGTGCTCCAAGCATAATGAAGCTTCTCATACCATTTTTCCTGCTGCCGCAGGACAGGATGTTGCACCCAACAGTGTAGAAGCATCAAGGATGGGGCTGTCGAAACATACCAAGGACCTTCAACACCAATCGATGCAGATGAAGGGCCAGCTATAAACTTCTGCATGCATGCAGGCTGCATTTTGTGGCATCAGCTATTTCCAGCATCGCTAATGTACTGTAGGCATATACATATGTATGTATATGTAGATATAATATATGTGTGTATATATATATCCATTCCCTTTTCTTTCTTCTGGTTGTCAAACAGTATGAAGACCCAAGATTATGCATGAAATGGTCACAGCACAATGCAAAAAGTAAAGTGTCCCCTACAACCAAGGTGGCCAAGGGCATGTTGAAATTTGCTTTTGCTGTAGTTCTGCTTACACCAGCAATTCTATAGTCATACATGGTACACACAAGAGAGTCCAGCATCACTGATCTGCACCATAAATGGATTGCATTGAATCCATTAAGAAATTTCTGCCATAGATTACTAACATGCCACATATGCACAATCTAGCATTCTTGTAAATGAGTCTGATGTGTTAGCAAAAATCCAAGACTATTTTGACAAACTTCAGAAAAACTAATGATCCTTTGCCAAGAAATGTTTAAAGCCTGTCTGAAAGTTTAAAATACATCCATTTTGGCATGCTGCTTTTGAAAGTTTTTAATGACTATACTTATAGTTTGTAGTTCTTCTTCAATGGTATATGGCATTCTGTAGAAACAAGGCTGGCTCCTCCTTATAGTGATAACTGCAAATTCAAATGGCATTTAATTGGTCTTCTTTTCCCAAACGGGCAACACGTTGATTCCCATCTGATACTGTTTTTTTTTTTTTTTTTAAGATTCATTTGGTTACATCTAACTTGGTCTGTGAATTATCTGAAATTTGATTGGACTCTAGATATTTCATATGCTGTTAACCCTATTGAACTTGCTTTCATAACAAACCTATCTATACTTTCAAGCCAAAAACTACTTTACATAAATTTGATTTTGATTCAACCAGTATTTTCTAGACTATAATTTTTAGGAGCTAAAAATGCTGGCTGAATCCATGCAGATTTTAAATATTTTAATAATTATTTTCTTTTGAATAATTATATTATGAAATTTAAATTTCTGAAACATATTCCTTTTACTTAAAAAAAGAAAACCCTGTGTATTTGTCACTCCATAAACTTGTATGGAACACAGAATGACTCTAATTGCCATACTTGGGGCCTTTCTTTCCCTTCATAACCTTCTAACATTTATGCTCAGTAGTTACAGATATAAGAGCACTTAGGAATTTTATTTTTTCACTTAAATCGCTGAGAATCAAAACTTGAAAACTTACTTATTTTAACGTATTTTGAGTATGGAATTCACTTATCAAATAAAACTAATGAATTTATAACAAACTCTATTTACAAGAGTGGTTGGTTGTGGCATATATAGCACATTTAAATACTTTGCTTTTTATTAAGAATTTAGGCAAGAAACTATATATATATATATATCTCCAATGCTTATAACAAAGCCCTTAAAATCACCTGTATTTTTAAAATTATTTTTTATTATATAAGTTTCAGGTGTATAGCACTGTAGTTCAACATCTGTATACACTACCTGATATAATTTCGATTGGTCAAAACACCTGCATGATTTTGATTTGAGACCAACTGAGAATTGCTTGTGTAAATATCATTTTAGTAGCTTTAGAAATGGAGCTGCGACAACTTTGGAGCATTTATAAATGGCATAAAAGCATTCTGCTGCTCATCATAGAAAGAATGTGTAGGCCAACAAGAGGTATCTTTGGAACCCCATGCTATTACGGCGCCCCCTGCAGCCCGGGCGGACCCGCGGCTCCCCGCTGGCCCCAGCGGGAGCTCCGGCGCCTCGGGCTGCCCGCGGACCCGCGGCTCCACGCTGGCCCCAGCGGAGGCCCGCGCTCCGGGCTGCCTGCGGGGCCGAGCCCGTCAGAGTCGGTTCGTAAGAAACAAAGGCTGTAAAGGAGCAAACCTGGTTGGCTGTGGCGGTTGCAGCGAAGGGAACACTTGTGGCGGATGTTGTTGCTGCGGACACAGTGGCTGGCGTAGCACCGTGCACCATGGGAACTTTCGGAGGGAAAATCACATAAGCAAACATACAGAAGAGTGTAGCAATATGGGAACCATGGCAACATGGAGGAGATAATTGGGCATGGTATTTATCACAGCAGTAAGCCATGTGACGGGACATCATCACCAGCGAGTGACATGCAATCACAGCGCAAAGCAGGACAACATTCCAAGGAGAGAGGGGGAAGGGGGATGAAAGAGAAAAAAAAGGGGAAAAAAAGCTTGTTACCATCAAATCAAGAAAATTGACACAAACAGGCTTAATTTGCTAAGTCAAAACCAAGAATTTTATATAGAGTTCACAGTTAGACATTCAAAATCTAAGTCAAAATACAGATATTTACTTCATATATACAATTATCTGTTTTTGAATAAAAGTATGCTTTCTTATTTACTATTATAAAAATACACAATATATTACTTTTATGAGATAGTTTCTTTTTTTTTTTACACACCAGAGCTCATAGTCCAATCAAAATCCACCAAAGGTGACTAAAGGAAACTTGTGTGTAAAGAAAACATTTATGTGAGTCCATGTCAATTAAATAGAAAATGGCATTTAATTGACAGGTGTTAGTAAAAAGGAAATGGACTTGCCCAATAGATAAAAGTTAAACTTAGCAGTGGATTTTGAGGGGCTGTGAGGTGCACCATAGGTTTAAGATAATCAAGAAACAAAGCTGGCACCTACCAACACTTGTAGCGGGTGTCATGCACAATATTGAGCCTGCCCATCATGCATTGCAACAGGAAGGTGGATTTGAAAAGGGAAAAGAATTAAAACATCCCATCACACGTGTAATTAGGAAATTCATTTGAACAAAGAAGAAAAATTGTTATTATGGGAACAGTGGCATGTAACTGTCAGCACAATCAAATCATACAATAGCATAGTGATCAATTAGAACTAGTCTCAAGTGAAGAATAAAAGCCAGTTGAACTGTGTGCTGGTACACTTTGTTTCTCCTGATTGCTGCCTATAAAGAAAAGCTAATTTTTGAAAAAATGGAAACCTGCTTAATTCTTTTTAAAAATAATAGTGCAATTTGTTTTGTTTTAATCTGGTTACTGGCCATCTGGTGGCTGTGCTATTTCTGACTTTTTAACATATGAATTGATCACATGTTAAATAATTAAGAGAAATTTACTAAGATGTTAAATAGTTCAATGCACAGAACTGACTTAACAATGTAATGAAACCAAAGCACTCATTTCATTCCCTCAGTTTTATTTATTTCCCTGTTCAGTGTAGCAGCAACCACACAGAAATGGAAGGGATTGTGATCAACCATACAGGAATTTTATTTGGAAGGATACCAAGCAATATCAATAAGGCATAGGGAGAAACTGAACTTCTGCACTGCCTTAGTTTGGAATTTAAATGTACAGAAAACATTTAGATGGGACACACTTTCTTAAAGTCTCGAACTGGTTTACTTAGAAGGTATCTGACAAAGCAGACTGGTTTTCCTTGCTGTTTTAAACCTTCAGGACTTCTCAGAACGGCAAGTGTTCTATGAAATTTCACATTCAAAAATGGTTAATTAGATTCCAATAAAAACCCTGAGTGGGGGATAATGAAGATATATACACTGCACAGGGGGTGTTGGCACGGATGTTCACAATGGCTCCACCACAACGCTAAATCAGTATTACATAGATAGTACCTGTTCTCTTTGCCATATAAACATTGGAAAATCTACCTTATTTTCCCAAGCACAGGGCACTTTCCCATATACTGAATTACTGTTCTTTCTATGAGATTATTTTAGACTCCTAGGTTTTAAAATATCAAATGATTTTATATTTCCATCTAAATCTTGGCACATCCTATTTAAATACTAGCAGCATCTGGGATGAACATTTGTTAGAAAAAAATCTGCCAATTGCGTCTTGTCAGAGATGGCCCTACAAAACAAAGCTGCCACTGAGAAGCACGGATGACTTCACTGGCATCCTTGTGACAGCGGCAATTAGACTGTCATCACAATTAAGACTGTGGGCGCAATGATTAATGACGAAACTCAGGAAGAAAGCTAGGGAGCCATTCTCTCAGGTGGAGCATTATTACACCGACGGGCATTATTTATTAAGACACTTGAAGATCTCTGTCATTTGCTGCCACTACTGAGTCAAAGCCTTGTGGAAGACAACAAAAACAAACCAGTGATAACCGAGACAGTAATTTGAGAGAGTAGAGCAAGCAAACTTTAATATCCTAGATCCTATGAAATCATCATCCTTCAATAGTTGGGTCAGAAGACTGGGAAAGAATGGATGAAAGATGAATGAAAAAGAATAATGTGGAATTTGAGAAATATTCATTTTAAATACTGTCCAGGTTGTACGTTTTAAATTTATTATTTATTATTACACTGCAATTTGTCTATTATGTTTCATCCCATGCACAAGGAAGGCTGCACATGCTGAAAATGAGTTCACCTTATCCTATCTTTCTAAAACCCTAAAGTTTTTAGGATTTGAACTTCAGTTTTGAGCTATCCTCCTCATTAGCATTAAAACCAATGCACACAGTTTTGAGAGGGATTCGCAGCAAATAAACAAAGGCAGCAATGAAAATACTAGCCAGGGTGCAGTAACTCACAAATATGAAGACACAATGCTGTAGGACCCACTTACCGAAATCAAAAATCACTTTTGAAATGACTGTAATATCCATCTTTACATCAAATTGGTTGATTGATTAATAATGATTGCATAAATAGCCAATTAAAAATTTTTTCTTCAATTTTCAGTGCAAGGCAAAATTTAAGTGAATGTATTTGTCAATTTCAAGTTTCCCCTACGAGGGTATCTGCAGAGCAGAATGGTGTGCTTCTGAGGAGTGCAAGATGTTAATTACATGATTTTTTAATTGAAATGCTAAGTTAACCTGTATGAAGATGCAGAAAATACAACTAGGAAAGTAGTTTCCCAATGAGATGTATATGTAGTTCAAATCAGTTCAAGGAGAAGGGAAAAAAGTAGAGGGGAAAAAACTATAGAGATTTTGTTGGAGGTTTGCATTGAGATGTGGTAATTCAAGCCTATTTAGGTGTATTATGATAGGAGTAAAAAACTGATCTAAAGTCATCTAAAAATACTCTGTATCATTTAGAACTAAAAGTTCACAATCAATAGAATTATTCTTAAAACTGATGTCTAAAGAAGCAACAGCTTCATATAATTTATTTTTATAATCTAATTGAATTATATTTTGTTTCTCTAATGAGTTCAGGAAATAACAACAAAAAAAAAGTGCTTACTACATTCCTGGCTTTATTCTAAACTCTTAGACCTGTCTATAAAAGCACTTTAAGAAGATGTTTTATCAAATTATGCTTAAAACTAACTTAAACATAACTCTATGAAATAATTACCAGTATGATCTCCTTTTTATATATGAAAAAATTAAAGTATAGCTTATGGTAGGCTGTATTTAAACTTCCAAGCCAGGTTTATAATCACTATGCTAAGGTTCAAATAAACCATCTTTATTAACTTCATTAATCATACTAAAAGTGATAATTGAAATCTTTGCTTTCTTTTCTCTCTGTAAAAGCAACTCCATCCCCCTGCATCTCTCCTCTTATTCCAACCCCTCAGGAAAGTTTTCTGAACTTCTGTTTCCTTCTTTCTAGGAATGTTCACTCAAGGTGAAGCTGAAGCTGTTGAAAGCAAACTTATTTTCAGTTTTTTAAAAATCATAAGCCTACAATGACTAAGGACAATATGCTAGGAAAAGAAGCATGCTTTTGAGGATGGCAAGTAGGCAAACATGGTGACAGAAAGCAGAGAGAAAAACATTCTCCCAGACTCTGAAGAGAAGGCGAGAAGCGTGCAGGGCCCCTTGGTAATTGGGCTTGTGGTGTGTCCCTTCACAGCATCCCTGCCAGATGCAGGCTTTCCAGGGAATGGGCTGCATGGGAGGCGAAGGTGCTTAGGCAAGGATGCTGGTACCCAAGGCAGGCGCAGAAGCCCGGGAACACCTGCCTTCAAGGGGTCCTCTAAGCATGGACCATGATTACATCAGCAATGACCAGCACTGACTGAAGAATGGAGACTGGGGAACCTGTCTGAGACCACTGGACGGCACAGGATCACCATTCGAGTAGGTGTGGGAAAGAAGAGGAGATGTGAGAATGGGAATCCCGGAATTTCAGTGGTGCCTGATATAGCTATCCAATACTGAAACTGAAGTTTAGAACTGGGCTTAATATAAATTCAGAAAAACAAAACTGATGTAAATAAGAGTGTTATTTTGTGAAATTTATAGCTACAACGTAAGTAGACAGTAGATTACATACACTCTGTATGAATAGTAAATTTAGTCTTAACGGGTGAAGGTAAAACAAAAAAACGAACTATATATTTAAAAAAATAAAAATTTCTTCAGTGTGAACATGATCCAAATTACTTATATCTATCTTTAAATGGGATGGAGGGTATAAAAGCAAAAGGCTAGAAAACTTTCTTGGGAGGGGTGGGAGTCGGATGGGAGATGCAGTGGGATGCAGTGAGATGCAGTGGGATGAACGAGTGAGTTAGAAGGACATTCTGTGTGCTGTGCTAAGCTGTTTCAGTCATGTCAGACTCATTGTGACCCCGTGGACTGTAGCCCATCAGGCTCCTCTGTCCATGAGATTCTCCAGGCAAGAATACTGGAGTGAGTCGCCATGGCCTCCTCCAGGGGAATCTTCCTGACCCAGGGATCGAACCCACATCTCTTTTGTCTCCTGCATTGGCAAGCACCTGGGAAGCCCAGGAAGAAGGATAGGTGGGTGGAAAACAGGGAAGGAAAGAAGAAAAAGGGGAAGAGAAGAAGGTAGGAACAGAAGAATAGATAGATGGTTAGAAGGATGGATGGATAAATGGACGGATGAATGCAAACATGGATGGATGCATGGATGGATTGATGGATAGATGGGTAAAGGCCACATAAGTCCAAGTTTGTTCTTAAAAGTTATGGTATAGTTAGGTGGCTTGCCATGGAATCCTGATCTTTTGCTAGCAACCTGTTCTGTATACAGAGTTACCTGCTCCAAAGATTCAGTCAACGATGCTTCATTGTAATGTCAGTGAAATAGACCTATATATCCCTGATGTTATTATTGAAGCAACAGACTACAGAATTCTAAAACTCTAAACTGCAAAAAATAAATGGCTTCCTTTCTCTAATCAGTTACAATAAAGTCTTCAGATATAACTTCCAAATTATAATATTGTGGTTAAATAGGGTGCTCTGATCACAGAATTCATCTATAAGTCTGCAGAATACCCAAGACTTTGGAAAATGAATTTCCTTTCCCCCCATATCACATGAGATGACACACGAATTTATGGTAGGATAGATTTTCTGTAGTTCTCAGAAATTTGTTGACAATATTTAAAAATGGACAGATTTCACATATAACTGTTCAAAAGTCCAGAATATCTGGGAAATAAATCATAAGATCTAGCAATACGGGACAGCAGAGCCATCACACTTGAGTTGTGTACAGCCAACCCTGAGAGGCAGAGACGCAACCACCCCACAGTCACAGACCAAAACATATATGGGGCCACCGAGGGTGTCCAGCACACAACAGGTCCAACCTGCCAGGCAGATGGTCTCCTAAGGCAACAAAAGGCTAGTCTGAACACTGTCCCCTTTAGACTGGGCCCAAGCTCTCCTGAATCTCCCGGATCCCATAGCTTCAACTTGACCTCTTGCTTCACTTGTTCCTATTTCCTGCCTGGCTTTTAAGGCATTTGGGTTTTTATATTTTCTACATTAGATTGCTTGCCTTCAGTATACAGCAATACCACCCTGAACGCGCCCAATCTCGTCTGATCTCAGAAGCTAAGCAGGGTCGGGCCTGGTTAGTACTTGGAAGGGAGATTTCTTTCCTTCCCAGCTGTATGATAAACTGGTTTGGCAGGAGTATAGATGGGCTATCCATTATAACTTTTTAATGTCATTGTGGCACATAGGTACATATGAGATTAAAAATACTCTAAAGGAATGAAGGAGGCACTACCTAACTTCTATGTGATGACTAAAAGTTAACCTACAAGCTCTTTAAAACCGGGTTACAAATAAACCTTGTTTGATATTACTATTGCAATAATTACATATTGACTATAAATATAAAAAAAATTAAAAAAATTTCTGATGCAAATTTATCATAAAAATGCAAACAAATCTTTAAAATTTCAGCATATTTCAATATATTGTGGCACACTTTACTTAAATTAACAATGTTTAATTTCCAGACAGAGAGGTAAGTATGACTCTGATTTATGAAGGTATTTATTGGTTTTCCCTGACTTGAATTTTACCTAGCATCTCTTGCTCTATCCTATCCACAGACTAAAACCCATTCCATAGAGAGGCTATGGTCATAAATCAGAGTCATACATGTCATGCAATTAATGATTATACTTATTTAGAAAAGTCTTCAGTCATGTGAATGGTGTTGGAGAAATTGATGCAAAATCCACTTGATAAAAGAGATTATTTTAGGTTTCTTTAAGCAATATATGGAAGAAGTTAAATTTGTTTTCACTTTTAGGTTTTCAAATAAAGAAACTGTCATTTCTAGTTGCAATGTTTCATTCAGTGAAATAAACTGACAAAAATAGCTTTTAATTTCTTCAAAAAGATCACAGTAGTCACCTACAATTCCTTGAAACTTTGTCTAGTGATCTGACTATAGAAAAATTGATAGATTATTTGTTGGAGACAGCATAAATCCGGGGGGATGGAAATTTATACTAAAGCAAAAAAAATTTATTTCTGGAAATCTCTGAAAATATACATATGTTGAGAAAAAATTTTAATTTTATAAAACTTAAAAGAAATGTGACTTTTCCTTCAGAGTACGACAAATACCCAAAGATCAAATGATTTCATTTCTATTCCAAAACGGACAAACTGCAACTTGATAGATACTATTTCATGAGTATAAATATAACTTAATCTGTAGTGCTAGGGCAGGCTATTTCAATTAGTGGAATATTTTATTCTAGTTCATTGAATGTTACTATATATTCTACACATGGATGGCTAGTTTTCAAAGAGGCACTGTATAAAAAGTTGTACTTGGCAGTAAAAACTAATGAGAATATAATTTATTCTCACTATTGAAAAATTATCACATTTCCTCATGGTATTTTGAACCTAATGCATTGTAAATACTGTTAGCATAGTATAATATACTAATGGGTCTAGATCTTTGACATACACGTCTAATGATAAATTTATCAAATTAATTAAAAATTATTTTGTTAACTGAATCTCTTAACACACGGCAAGTTTTAAGAAAGATTAAGAGATGAAGAGGAAAATAAGATTTAGAGTCTCTGGTTACTTGAAGTCTAGATTATAAGGAATGTAATTTGTATTTTCTGAAGCAAATGAAGAGTAAGTAAAAATAATAAACTTCCAGGTAATTAAGTGACTGATTAGTTTATGTTTTTAAATTATAAATCCTTGTGTATAGTTCTAGAGTATGTTTATGTTACTAAGTTGAAATCAACTGAAACCACAAATGTATAACTCACTTATAAATGTAAACTTCACTGGGTGCTTAGGGCTACTTCAATATTAGCTCAGGAGCAACAACGTAAAGTGATGTATACTGATTGGTACCAGTAAGGTTGGAACAGAGTCAGTTTTTTATTCTCCACCTTGAAAACAAAAAGGCTGAAAAATAAAAACCAAAACTGAAGCGTCATTTCATATAATTCAAATGAGCTCTGGAATCATGAAGGCAAAGGGGTCTTACAGCAAGGAAGGGTCATAAAATAGCTTGACAGACATGTAACGGTGTTGAGGAAAGAGAAAAAAAGAGAAAGAACTCTATTTCATTTCAAATTACACACATACGAATAAATATACAAAATATCACTGACTTCTCCTCCATTTTCCATCAAGCTAAAGCTCTTCGTTTCTAAGGAAAGTCATAGGAGGGGCCTGAGACAACTTGTCATCTTACCGTCCACCTGCGCTATGGCTAAACCAGGGGCGTGGCTTCCCTGCCCGACCAACAGAAACCCACGTGCACCGGCAGGTCTGCTGACCGCCGAGCTCAACCCTTACCTGGCGGGAGGAACGCCGTGTGCTGCTGCAGCTGCATGTTGGCTAAAGCCTGCTGGTACTGGAAAATACCAGTGTTAAAGACCGCCGTGGCACCGTTGGTTTTCTCAAGAGCAGGCCTCTTTGGTAACGGGGGAAGTACGGCTTGAGGAATTCCCTGTTCAGTGAGTGAGTACAAAAAACAAATACCAGTAAAGAGAGAAAAAGAGAAAAGAAAAATCAGTTGCAGGCTAAAATTGTTAGGCAGCATGAGCACGTAAGCAGCAGAGCACTTAACTACCCGGGAAAAACATCCAATAAACAAAAATTCAAAGGGGAAAAAAGCAAGATAAAAGCTTTAAAGGAAGCATTATTTTTGTCTTGGAGGGGAAAAAAAAAAACCCACTAGTATGAGAGCACATGTTATAATGTGTTAAAGTGTCCTAAGTCCCATAATGCTTCAGGCTTTCTGGGAGAAGCCATCAGTTTGGGCAAAGAAGGAAAGCTGCCCTGCGAGCTCCATGAGGATCGACAAGTATAAGCAATGTTAATAGTTAATCGTACGAAGTGACCGAAACTGGCAAAATAAAACCCAGTCCCACTCTGCCCGCCTCCCCACATCTACCTAGACATGCACATGTCCCAGAGCATGCAAGTTTTTTTTTTTTTCTTGAAACACTGAACTATAAATATTAAAAAGTCAATAATTCTATCACTAAAGCCATGCTAACCAAACAGGTACATAAATATACAGTCCAAAAATACATTTTTAATGTCCTTCAAATACTTCATTAGAACATTCTACAATGTAGTTAAACTGAATGTGGGCTGCTGGGTTTTTGGAATCTTTCATTGCACCACATCTGTCCAGGGACTTGTTTACAGTCTTTCCACTAATTTTGTCAGGAAACCACACTCAGTTTTCATTGCACTTTACAACTTTATAACAGAAAAGAGAATATATATTTTTTAACTGATTAAAAAAAAAAAACTTGTATCTACAATAAAGCTACATGCCAAGCTAAAAGGTGAAAGGTCATAGTACCAGGTCAAAGGTTGCCTCGAGGGGTCGCTTCAGTGATTTGACAGCCGACTGAGTCTTAATTAGCAGGCAGCGAGCACATGATGGCAATGGGCCAGTGGGGTTCAAGCACATTAACATAAACAGCAAGCAGAGGTGCATCATGGGGGCAGCAGTGCATTTTTGGGTAGGTGAGAAAAAACAAATAAAAAAACAAATCATCGGAATGCCATATACAACGAATAACAAGACTAAGCATGCACAATAAAGGCACTATTGAGTGGTTATTGGGAGGATGACTCCTCTCTGTAGTTAATTACAAACAAGATACTCTAACAGAAAAAAAAAAAGAAAGAGTGGAAGGAAGAGAAGAGGAGAGAGTCTGCCTTCTGTATTTTTGCTCAAGTATCCATAAACAAACACAGAAAAGACCTCTCCGTGACTATTTGACTGTGCTACAAAATACCACAGGCTTCTTTTTCATGAGTAATTTAACGATTAAGTCATATATTTATGTAAAAAAAAAAAGGACAACATTAAAACAGCTAAGCAAAGAACAAAAATGGACTCATTAAAATCAGCTATTAGATCACATTAAAATTTACCTTCATTATATAGTTTAGTATCTGTTCTAAATGATCCATTTCTAACACTTCCTTGAGTATTGCTTTCCCCTTTCTATGTAATGGCATAGGCAAACTTCTCTAGTTTTACAGTTCTGTTTATGCCACAATATAGTTCAAGATAATCTAGATAACCAAACCGCTCAAAATCTTGTAGTGAATTCTAAAAACAGTTTTGTTGAAGCAATTCTCCTAAATAGTTTCAGATTTTGTTATGGTTAAAGCAAGATAAATGTAGAGAAGAGCCTTGATGTGCAGAAGAATGCACCAAAGGGAAACAATGGCTGATTAGATAGCACACAGAAATAAGAGGACCAGAACCGGCAGTATCGTTAAATCGAAAAGGAGACAGGTGTTCTGTACAAAGCAGAAATTTCAGAAACCCTATATCCAGAGTAATACAGAGTATTAAAAGTTAGGCCAAGGGTAGGAGCAATCTGAACCATTTGAGGAGTTACCCTCACTTCTCTGAACGGTCACTTCATTACGTATTGTCTGGGATACCTGAACAAACATATCTTCAGCAAAAAAAAAAAAAAAAAATTTTTAAAGGTTAATAAATGAATAGCCTGCGGTCAGAGAGAGCTGCCCCCTGCTCCTGTGGCCGTTAAGAAGGGCTGAGCCAGGGCCTCGACTCACCATGGCGGCCGCCGTGGCCGCAGCCTGCGCGGCAGCAGCCTGGTTGACCTGGTACTGGGCAGCCTTGATCTTGGCTTGCAGATGCGCCGGGGGGTGGAAGTACTTGCACTTTTCCCGAGAGCATCTCCCTTTGATGTAATCCATGCACACGGTGACCGTGTTGTCGTTGGTGTCGATCATCGTGCTGTCTGCAGGATGCGCGAACCGGCAGTCATTCTCCCCTCGGTTGCAGTTGCCGCGCTGGTACTCTCGGCAGACCTGTGGGGCCATAAAGTGCACGAGGTCAGCCAGCACGGACAAGCAGAGACCTGGCCGAGATTTCAGGTGCAAGAGTGGCGACAGGGGGCTACAGGTGAAAGGGGGAAAGGTGATTTGCAAAGGAACCGCAAAATAACTTGAAAACATGCCTAGCATACAAATTACAGCCCCATTTCAATAAAATGTCCATGAGGAAGAAAATGCACTTAAGATACTAACTATGGTAAAACATCTAATTTAAATAATGTTGATATACTTATTCACTGTTGTTGTTCAAAAGCTTAGTCGTGTCCGACTCTTTGGCGACCCCATGGACTGTAGCTCACCAGGCTCCTCTGCCCATGGCATTCTCCAGACAAGAGTATTAGATTGGGTTGCCATTTCCTTCTCCAGGGGATCTTCCCAACCCAGGAACTGAACCCGCAACTCCTACATTGCAGGTGGTTTCTTTACTGCCGAAGGCCATGCTTAACTCATTACTAAGGAGGAGATAGTAACTTTATCGTGAAGAACTCTATAGACACCCACTTAACCAAACAGAGTTAATATCACCAGTAATAAAGGCATAATGATATCACATATCTACTGATATGACGCTGAAAAAAGGGTACATCGTCACATTTGTTGTATTATTGCTGAGAACGCAAAACCTGAACTTCATCATGACGATCCATTAAACAAACTAAAATGGGAGGATGTTTCACAAAATGACTCACCAGTACTCTCCCAAGATGTCAAGGTTATGAAAGACAAAGACAGACTGAGATGCCGTTATAGACTGAACGATCCTGGAGTCAGAGGAAGGATATTGGTAGGACAATGGGTGAAATTTGATTAACGTCTGTAGATTGGTTAATAGCAGCATATTAACGCTAATTTTCCAGTTTTGTAAGCGGTGACATGGTTATGTAAGCTGTCAATATTTAGGTAAGCTGGGTGAAGGAGATGCAGGAACTCAGTTCTATTTTTGCAAATTTTATGCTAATCAGAAATAATTTAAATGTGAAAGTATAAAAAGTAAAATGATAGCTTTTTTGAAAAATGTTTCTAAGAACTATATTTTTTATCATTAGAGATTCACTGGGTAGTAATGTAAAGCAGATGGAAAAGGATTATTTTTTTATTATCTGTTTGTCTTATATCTATTAATTTTGGATGGGGTCCCTGAAGAAAAGGTGAAAATGGATTATTTTTCACCCATTTGCTGGATTTGGACCTCTTACTATTAAAGGTTGCTGGGGATTTCCCAAGTGGCACGGTGGTAAAGAATCTGCCTGCCAATTCAGGAGATGTGGGTTTAATCCGTGGGTCGGGGAGATCCCCTGGAGTAGGAAGTGGCAACCCACTCCAGTATTCTTGCCTGGAAAATTCCATGGACAGAGGAGCCTGGTGGGCTACAGTTCATGGGGTCACAAAGACTTGGATGCGACTGAGCAACACTTTATAGCTTGTCAAGGTGCCTGCTCTAAAAAAAAAGCTGCCCGCACTTTCATTCAGAAAATTTGACCTTTTTACCACAAGAGGGCCACCTAAACACAAAAAGCCCTTTTGATATTTTTATGCTCTTATTACTTCATGCTTTAAGGATGTTTCCTTTTTGTTTTTCACAAATCTTTTTACAAACTGAGCAGATATAGTCCCTGAACACTCTATTTTGGAATTCATGAAGAAAAAAAAAAAAGGCGAACTCTGCTATGATTTAAAAAACAAACATTTTCTTGGATTTAAAGTACATAAAATGATTACATTCAATTCTAAGTGTTTCCCCCTTTTATATACATAACCCATTATTGAGGAAAATGATTCTTTTTAAAAAGGCCTTGATAATTTGTATCATGCTACATGTTAAAAAAGAGCATTTTAAATGACATCTTGTACCATTTAGAAACCTCAAGCTAAAGCAATGCATCCCATCTACATAGCCGAGTCAACTCTACTCATCACTTCAATTTAGATAATCTTAAAAAATTATTAAATAGTTACTCTGTGCCAGATACTCCGAGAAATATTAGGAGTAAAAGATGACTTAGAAAGTTACAAAAGATGCTACTTTTTTATCACTACATTTATCTTTTCGAATAGAAGAAAACAAGGGTATCGAGGAGTTTATAATTTGAAAAGCAAATGTCAAGCTGTTATCCAGACTTCTTGTCCTCCACTCTCCCTGAGCATGCAATCAAGCCGTGCTCCTTTCTAAGCCACAAACCCCCACTTACTAAATTAGACTCCTCAAAATACGCGGAGAGGAACACTTAAATGTGGACAAAAACTTTTCATGTAGATATGTGAAGCTTATGCATAAGCAAAAAGGCTACTTTTCTGTTTAAAAAACCCACGTCAATTCAGCGTCATCCAACAGGAAACTCCTGCTGTTCGGACACTACTGCTGTTAGCTTTTCAGTAATTTTTGCTTTCTCGAATATGCTCACAAAGAATCTGGCGGCAGCTGACCCAACACTCTTTTCCAATTTCTCCTACTCTCTGCCACAATGACAAGAAATAACATCTACAGGTAGTCTATCTTTAGGAGCCGGAATAACTACTAAGATCAAAGATTTGCTGTTTTCTAAAAGCAATTACGCCAGTGTTTGTGCCAGAAATTTGAGCATCAGTCCCCAAAAATAAAACCTGAATGCTCGGCTGATTTTTTACTTTTTCTTTCTCTGTCTGTCTCAATGTTCTTTTTATTTTCAGGGGTATGAACTTACAATCAGGTTGCATAAAGATGGTCATTCTAAGACCTCTTCTGGTCCCTGTCCATTCGCTTTATACATATGTATATGTGTGCTTTGTATAAGTTAGTATGTTTGTTTTGTATAAGTTAATAACTGGCTTAATACAATTTTGTCCTCTTTACGGTCTTGCAGGATTCATTTAGGGAGAATTCTAAAAAACACTTAGGCAGAGTTGATAACTAGCTTAGAATCTTGTCCTAAAGTGACTGTTTCACTTATTTTTTTTAATCCAGCTGAATGTTTCTCCTGACAAGAGAAACAGAACAGAAGAAATACACTGAAACAGCTTTTCTCCAATTATTCTTGCCTTTGAAAAAATATATAAAGAAGAAACAGAAAATCTCTTGTGTAAACTTGTACTGGTGCAATCCACAAGGCCAGAGGGGCGAGAGAATGTTGCCAAGCTTTAGAAGCACATCGGGCTTGTTGGAGACTTACCTGAATAGAACAAACCTCCCAGAGCTTTTCACACAGATTTTCCTCTAATAATCAATACATCTCATTTCTCAATAAAATGAGATCTGTTTCTTGACTGATGAATACGAGCTTGGCCTGGCTTCTCGGATAAGCTAGAGAAACTGTAGGCTGCGCTGCTCCCTCAAAGAAAGTTCTTAGCTGTGGTACCGACCGCATTAGCAAATTCCAGTTGACAGACAAAATTTCAACAAATTTAACCATCCAACTCAAATCAGGATAAGAAGTTGCACAATTTACCATACGGAGAATTTGTAACAAAGAAGATTAAATTTGAAAATCCTAACAATGTTATGGCCCTTTTCGCTATTCTCATCTAATCTTCTGCACTAATGTATATGTATTTCAAATAGTTGTAATTAGAGTATGATTATTACTTGGTGATCTGTTTTTGCTTGTTGATGGATGTAAACATTCTTTTTGCCATTTTACTAAAAAGTGTCCATAGTGATCATTTTTGCTGACTGAATCAAATTCCATCAAATAGATATACACAATATAAGTAACTCAGAGAACATCTAGATTATTTCCAATATTCCCATACTACAAATAATGTTACAAAGACTATCTTCACAACCACACCAAAAAAATCATTCTATAAGGATGAATATGTAGAAATGGTATTAGTGGTTCAACAAATATAACTACTTTTACAGTTGGGTAAGTGGTTTCAAACCTAGATGAAAATAATTCCATCTACTAGCTAACATTCTTCAATCAAAAAGAATGCTTGTAAGTATAAGTGTTAACGCAAGATTTGCTTTGGAAATCACATAAGTTTTGTAAACTTTCATACAAAAAGGTTAAGAAATTACTTTCATAGTAAAAATCATCACCTTGATAAAAATATTTACTGAAAACATTAAAGTAGTGAATTTCATTTCCAGAAAAACATCTTTGGCTAATAAACTTTAAATAATCAAAAGGAAAAGCAATTAGAAAAACTTCCTAAGGAAATCTATGTTAATTCTACATAAACCTTCTTTGTTAATTAAATAGCAGTGGTAGGGTGCAAAGAGGACAGGGTTTGAAAACAGAAATTTTGGGTTCTATCTAGTATTTATATTTACTAGTTATGGAATCATGAATACTGAAAAAAATAATATATAGATAGCTTAAAACATACTATACAAATCTGGTTAAAATAAACAGTTCTGTTATGTGATCTCAAATTTTTATAAACATGACAAACATATTTCAAATCGGTCAAAATAATAATAGGTGGGAAGAAAGTGAAAGTGTTAGTCACTTAGTTGTGTCCAACTCTTTTGCAACCCCATGGACTGTAGCCTGCTAGGCTCCTCTGTCCATGGGATTTCCCAGGCAAGAATACTGGAGTGGGTTGCCATTTCCTTCTCCAGGGGATTTTCCTGACCCAGGGATCAAACCCACGTCTCCTGCATTGGCAGGCAGATTTTTTTTTTTACTNTAAGATCATCTGGGACTTTTCTTTGAAATCTAAAAAGTGAAATCCTACAATACTGCCATTAGCCAGTGAAGATAAGCATATTTCTATAGATAATATAGCTAAGAATTTGTCATTTGATTTCACATAACTTAAAAAGCAAATCTGAATATATCAGAATGACCAACTAAAGAAACAACTTGCAACTCTATCGTCTCCAAAGCAAAACTCAAGCTAATTACAGACAGCATAAACGACAAGAGACTAGATGTTTTAAACGGGAACATGAGTTCACTATTTTAGAGTCTTTATTACACTACATTATTAAGCCATTCTAAAGTCTTATTACAATTTTTTTTAATTTAAACTTCATAGCCCCATGTGCATTAAACTCGTAATATTTCTTGGTGATTTTCTAAAGAATTTAAATATCACAGAAGCAGTAGCTAAATACTCGAGACAAAAACACAAAAGTAAAGTAATTCTATCAATAAGCCTTTCTTATATTATTAAAAGCACTTGCTTTTCTAATCTCATTTTGAAATGAGTGTCATTTATATGCAATAGATCATGACAAATCCATTAACTGCCTATAATGCTGTCATGGAGGCATCCTTTCACCATCACTTAAATCCACATTTAGCTTTAAATGCTTTTCTTGTATGTGTAGCCAGTAGGTATCATGTGTTTTTATACCTATATGAAAAAAGTCACTAGACTCTTCTGTATCAGTAAGTAGTGGAAGCATTTAGTATCCAGTGGCCTGAATCATGTCATGATCACCTCAGCAGAATAAAACTTTCAGCATATGAATACATTATTTTGAAACAACTCCAACTGGAAATATCAGAAGCCGAGTAGTTTGCCCACCTTTGCTGGAATATGTCATATAGACTACTAATGTAAAAATAATATAGTTAACCTAACGGCAATCTAATGTCTCCATCAGCATATGAAGTATGTGGCCACTTGTTTGTTTTCTGTTTTATTAATGCTGTTATGTGGTATTAATTACCCCAAAAAATCATCGTTGTTTACTTAAAATATTTCTTTATGGTGTAACACGGTGTTCTCAGCAACTTCACAAAATGCAGAATGCTAAATGCATTTGAGGAGCCAGATTTTTAATCCAGAGTCACAAGTAACTACATGAGGTAAATGATAAAATGTTAATACTTAAATAACAGGTGCTCACATCCCCTGGATGGTATTTTATAAACCATTTACATTTAGAATCACCCAGCAGATCTGTGAAAAGGATTCGAGAGCCCCACTGGAGACCCACCAAATCAGTCTGTGGGGATGGGGCCCCACATTTAAAAACAATTTTTTATGTTTTAATTTTTGGTTATGCCTCGCAGCTTGCAGGATCTTAGTTCCCTGACCAGGAGTTGAATCTGCACCCTCCTCAGTGGAAGCCCAAGTCCTAACCACCGGACCTCCAGAGAATTCCCAGGCTTTCCATGTTTAACAATCATCCCAAGTGATTCTAAGCACATTAAAGCTTGAAAACTATTGCTCCAGGACGAGGGACATGAACAAGATGCCATATTTTGTCGTTGGAATGTTCAAAACGTAAGCATGTTCCCAAGGGTAATGCTAACAATGTTAAAAATGTGTCATGTTTTGTCTCCTCTAGATTACCCTAAACTCTGAATAAGGGCATGGATTAATTAATTGATTAACTAGTTGATTGACTCATTTATTCCCTCATTGAACAAGTTACCAGGCATCTTTTATGAGCTTGGCACTATTCTGGGGGACCTTCTCTTGTTATAAAACACTAGGCAACCTTCTGATGCCTCAAGATATTCCTCACAACAGTTTTTACTTGAAATATGGTCACCAGTTCTCCATTGGATATTGCTGAATAAAGGAGAGAAGAAATGCACTCATGGATCCTTCTTGCACCATAAAAAAAATTACTGTGTATCTTGAAAATAAACAATTTCTTTAATTACCAACTCGTTGTAGTAAAGCAGATACGACTAAAAACCTCAGTCCTTTCTAGTATGTACAGATTTCAACAATTTGTTAAAATAATAACTGAAAATAACTGCCACTCAGAAGTTACACAAAGGCACCCCAAGGTCACAAAAAGTAATTTTTTAAAAGCCTCAGTTCAGTGACCAATATTTAAGAGGCTTGCTCCTCTTTAGAGAAAACTGATTTTACAGCATAGAGAGTATGCACCTGCAAAGTCTTTTAAAAGATATCCAACAAAGAATGGATAATATGGATAGTGATAGAAAACTTGTGCATGTGTGCATACACACACACACACACACACACAACCTTTTCAGTAGTTTGTGGTTGGCATTAAATGCAAGAAAATGACCTAAATTTCACCTTACTGGAGGTGATTGTAGAGATTATCTGGTATAATCCCCTAGTTTAATACATGTGAAATATGATGCTTAGGGAAAAAAAAAAAAAACCTTGACCTATGCTTACTCACTTAATTAGCAGCATCACCAGCACTAATCCTTGGGCTCCTCTTTTTCAATTTTTTGTAGTATCAACATTTTTTGTAGCATCACATTGGGGGCTATGTGTTAGTTCTTTACAACAAAAGAACCAGAAGAATGATCATCTGTGGTGTTTTTAACTTCTTCATTGCCTATTTTGTAGTAGAAAGAGAAAAGGAAGTGGCAAGAAGAACTGGCCAATATTTTAGCTGCTTCAAAATTTGTTCACCTCAAAAGGAACTCAACAATTCTAAAATATACTTAGGAGTTCCATGAGTTAAAGATCAAGCACAGATTTAAAACCCAAACAACTAAATGTGTACATAAGCGTGGGCACTTACTGCCGTGTCTCTTAGACCCCAAGATGTGGTGTAATGAGCATGAGAGGGAAGAGTCTGAAGACAGGAGTATCTAAAATCACAGGGCCAAGGAGAAAGACGTGCCCCCTAGCATCACACTGCAATATCCTAACAGGTTGTAACTGTGACAGTGAATCAGATCCTGTGAATGAGAATAAGATAGGAAGCTGCCCTACTATCAGGCATTGAGATAAGTGGAATTCAGGTTAAAAGGAAATGACAGTCATTACAACAGTAGCCATTTGTTGTGACTACTAGAAAGGAAGACAAAAAAATACTTGCAATAGCTCCTTGCAAAAGAAAAACAAAACCAAAGGAAAGACAGAAGTCTTCATTTTAACTAAACATCATAAAGAATATAACCAATTACAGTCTACCTAAAATTGTGGAAGAATTAGTTTACAAGAGTTCTGAATACCCAGTCTTTTAAAGGGATTCTTTGAAAGAGAATTAAATAGAGACAATCTCAGTTTTAATCTCCTATTAAAAATTAATTCAATCAAGTTCATCTCAGACTGCATATTTGGTTCCCATTAAACAATCAAGAACCTTAAGATATGCTTCTGAAAGGTTGGGGGGGGGATTCATATATTGAGCATCTAATAATTTTTAAATATTTAAAACTTCCTAAATTTGCTCCTAAATTTCTCTGCAAACAGCATTAGTTATTAATGAGCAAGAACAACTATGCAATGACAAACCACCTGCAACTGAAGGTTTTATCTCTAGCACACGGCAGGGTCCTTGGTCCACAGAGGGCATGCAATCAGGTCTCAACATCCTTCCTGAACCCTCCTTACGGAACTCCTGTAATTAGGAGCTTTTTCCAACATGTTCAATGAAAGGCTAAAAATAAGCCTAAGACAAACAAACAAAAACTCTAAAGGGAACATACAAGCCCAAATTTCCTGCCTCCTGTTTGTACCATCACTTGTATGGGAAGGGGAGTAATAACAGTGTTTAAAATTCTGATATCATGCCCCACCAGAAGATCCTATCCATGTGATCTTGAATAAGTCATGTTGCATCTCTCTCAAGTTTATTGCCTTGTTAAATGGAGTTGACGCTAGTATCTTTCTCATAAGATTGCTTTGAGGATTAAATGTGTGGTGCACACGGAGGGGTAATGTTACGGCTGGTAGAGAGTAAATATCCAATAATTATCAGCTATAGCTACTACCATCAAAAAGGTGGTGGCAGTTATAACTACTCTGAAATCTGAGATCCTTTGTAATGCATGTAATGAAACTTAATAAATAAGAACGTGGCAGGCACTTATTAAATAAATTCCTGCTAAACTGATAAATTATTAGTGTCAATTATGTTCACACAATGGCCTCATTTTGCCATTTTCTCGTAATTAAGACATGCAAAACTTCTAGTACTAAATATTGCTTCACCGTAACCAGGGAAAAGAGAAAAAGCTCATTTTTTCTTTATTTAGATACCAAAGCCAGATTTGAGAGCTTCAGTGTATAGCAATGCTGCCATTTTTCCCACTTAGAGTTTACTAAGTCCACTAATTTACAGTCAAGTTGAAATTCTCAACTACTTCAATATAAAATCATATCTTTAATTTCTTTTTCACGCAGCAATAGCAAAGCACATACATCAGATCATCCTTGACTCTAAGACAGAGTATCACACAATTTGCAATTAAAAAGTTATCAGCGTATTTCACAAACAAAGGTGCCTTGTCATTCCTGCTGAAACACTGTGAGGGTTATGTGAGGAAACTTGCAATAAAAAATTTTAAAACGCTTTGTGTGCAGTAACTTAACAACGACTTCATGAGAACATGTATCGGGGGATTGACAGAATTTGTTAATAGCAATAGTAACAAGAAACATTTAGGAAGCTAAGTCTAACTCTTTGAGATAAAATCGTTTCTCCATTTTGAAGAGAAGAAAACTGAGGCACAGCCAAGTAAAAAGCAGTCTGATCCCAGAGTCCCAAGTTCTTATCCACTTTTCTACACATGGATGTTGTGGCTTCTATAAATGTTACATTCATGAAATATAGCATATCTCTATTCTAGCAAAATGCCCCAAACAATGAACCAAAATCTCTGCATTAGCTTCTACCCTTTATAGCCACTGAAGAAATAAAAAACAAACAGCACACGAGGAATTTTCGAACAGAATACGTAAAAACACCCCGGACTCCTACCTCAAGTCTGTCTGTCCGCATTAATTTCTGAGCGGCAGCTGCAGCGGCTGCGGGGACAGGGACCCCAGGGTTCCCCGTGACCAACATTGGTGCGGTCGGTAAGATCTCTGCCGGAACCAGGCTTGGGGAAACAGGTCCCAGGTAGGGATTAAAGGCTGCTGATGCATTGGTAGCTAAGCTTGGTGCAACTGAAAACATTGGCTGAAAAATAAAATATAAGGTAAAATTTAATAGGCAGGTCTTGGTTCAAAGTTGATATCCTACATCATATATCTATCCTCCATCCACGCATCCATCCATCCTTCCATGCATCCATCCATAATCCACGCTTCCTTTGCTCCCTCCCACCCTCCCCCTCCCTCTCTCCACTTAACTGCACATTTATTAACTCTCGTTTAGATTAAGAATGTTTCTTAAATAAGCATTCATTAAATCAATGTTTCTCTAAAACATAATGGGTAATTTATCTAGGAAATTTTCCACTGGGATTTTGAAGCTTGGGGTCTACAATACTTGCAATTACTTTTGAAAAATAGCTCAACCATTCAATACAGAAACTTCTTATAGTTACCTAAGCTCCACCTTTGTCCTGATTTAATCCTAGAAACTTGTCTAAGAAAATACAGCCCGTAATTGCTATGTCATATGTACTTGAAAGATTTGTTTACAACTGTTAATAGGTTGCAAATGTCTTATTATCTAGAATATATAAAGCAGAACTCCTTGTGGATAACAGAGTTTCACAGTCAATGTAAACTGTGAATAAATCTTAGGATATATGAAAGGTGATGATGACACCATTTCTTTTGAGCACATAAGATAAAGAGTTTGGCATATGTATTTGTTCTAAGTTTTCCTGGGTAAATTATAGATGTTCCACCAGCTTCTTATTACTTTGTGAGATACTCTACAACAGACTCAGCTTACTAAGGAGAAATGAAGTCTGAAAAGAATACTCCTAAAGAAGTGTATTATGATTATTCAAGGAAATACATACAGGAACACTGAATAAATGCTATAAGATAGATTTTTCTGCCAGAAAATGCTTTCATGAATATATGAGTATGGTTTCCATTTGTTGATATGAAAATTTGTATGTCAGGAAATATATCTGTTCTTGAGTAAAATTAAATAATTTACTTGAAATTTACTTTAACAATGTGCTTTTTCATTTTTCAAAGCATAACCTAGCACACTTTTCCACCTTACTGGTGGTATATTTTCAACCTCCTAAGTCAATGGAGTTTTCATTCTTGATGTTTAATCTATGTGTAATAATAATGTTTGTTTCAAAAACACAAAAACAAATGGACAAAATGGATCCTGTTCTTTAAGGTAATTTTAAACAGTTTGTTATCTTTACCCTGCAGTAAGAACAGAATCATAGAAAGTTTTTTTTTAGAAAGAAAGGGACATGAGAATGTAGATAATTCTTCCCTCTGATAGGAATAAGAAGTTAGACGATCCAAGAGTTTATTTAGTACTCAAGAGAGTTTTACAGAATAAGATTTTATGCAATCAAGATGTATATGTTACAGAAATAATTTTTATAACTCAGAAATATCTTTAAAAATAAAATAAACTCTTTATCTAATTTGGCTCTGACTCATCCTGTATTGAGAAGATCAAGTATTCCTTTTTTCTTAAGGCAGTGGTTCTCAATTACCGGTGATTCTATCTCACAGGGAGTATTTTGCAACACCAGGGGATATTTTCGGTTGTCACAGCTGGGGGGCACTATTGCATCTAATGAGGAGAGGCAAATAATGTTGGCAAGTATCCTACATCACATAGAAAAGCCCCTCACAACACAGACTTATCAGGCCTAAATGCCAATAGAAATGGGGTTGAAAAGCTCTGTTCTGACAGCCTTCTCTTGATGTCACAAATTGTTTTAGGACAACATGTTTGCAGCTAGCACATACAGTCTTAATCACAAGACCATGTAATAGAGAAAAGTTAATCCAACTTCTGATTCACTTGGGAGAAGAAAAAGTCTACCACAGAGTCCACAGACATCTTCAAATTAAAATAATTACGCCTGCCAGTGTGTTGGTCTGGATGCCCTGGTTAGCTGCCCTATCAGGCTGAGGCTCTTGATGAAACAGCCTAAAGTAACACTTCTAGTCCCCAGATCCATCTCTGCCGAAGGCAGCTACCCACTGAGAACAGAAAACTGCCGGGATCCCAGATATTAACAATCAATAGCCAGAAATGGGGGCCCAGGGCAATCTCTCAAGTCCATCAGCAGTGACTTAGTCAAACAGCAGTTGATTTGATGTTGCTGCACTGACTACCGGCTGCGAAGGCAGCACCAAGACAAGAGCTCACCTGCAGCGTAAACACATGCTGAACTTGGGTCTCTACTCAGAATTATTCAGATTAAACTTACACCGTTACAGATTATCAAATGCAATATGTGACATGTTCAGCCACATGCAGGCCAGCACTCTAATTTTTCTCTTAGACATTTAAGAATTATAAGTAATTTAGCATAGTAGACTAAAAAACTAGTTTAGAATATGGAGAACAAAAGCCAGTCAATATTAATTCTTGCCATGAATTAATATGTATTTCCAGAGAGGGTATTTTAAATGTAAACTTCAGAAAGTAATTGAGATGTTTATGTCACTTTGCACAATCTACTGAAATTATTTTGAAGCAGAGGTCAAATTGGCAAACTTATCTGGAGGCAAGAGAGCATTCTTAAAAATTTTAAGAAAGTAAGATCAGTGGTCAATAAAATTCAGCTTTTGTTAAATATCATTGAATAAAACAAATTTATAATCTGCAATACATATAAAATAGCAGTTCCATAACACTTCCCCGGTGTCTCAGATGGTAAAGCGTCTGCCTACAATGCGGAAGACCAGGGTTCAATCCCTGGGTCTGGAAGATCTCCTGCAGAAGGAAATGTCAACCCACTCCAGTACTCTTGCCTGGAAAATCCCATGGATGGTGGAACCTGGTAGGCTACAGTCCATGGGGTTGCAAAGAGTTGAACACCACTGAGCAACTTCACTTTCATTACAGATAAAAGAATACTTTCATTAGATAACAATACTGATTTTACTAACTGGCAACAATTTTTCCACTGGATTGTCTCTATAGAGTTGTCACATGAATTGACTTTCTGACAATTCAGCAAATGTTAAGAACTTTAGGGTACTGTTCCCAAGTAAAATCAGTAGCAGCTTTCAAAATTCTAAAACATCGACTGTGCAGCAAGCATTATCTCAAAGTGCTCCCTCTCCAGATAAGTAGCATTATTTGCTAAACAGGCAGACAATAAATAATAATAGCTCTATACTTCAAAATTTGATTCCAAAAGTTGCCCAAAACACATCCCCAGCAAAGCGCAACATCCCTTCACTTCTTCTGAGCTTTTGTAAATTCGTTGTATCTCTCTTTCAAGGAGCACCTTGCAGGAGGTAGGCCACTGCTGGCCCCACCAGAGGGCCCTAATCAGACTACCGAAGCACGTGAACTGTGGTGCTGCCAGTTCTCTCTTCCAAAAGCCGTCCTGCAGAGCTCAGCAGAACTGCAAGGACTGATACTAATGCAACGGTGTTATCAAGCAGCATCCTATTTTCTCCTAAGTATCCGCAGAAAAATGTATAATTATGTAACTGGTGCATTTGATCCTCGTAATAATGATTTACAGATATCTTTGTTCCCAGAAGGCATAAGGAAGGTTGCTTTATGATTGCCTTTTTTGCCAGTGAACACCCTCAGCAGAGAAAAACAAACGGCAATCTTACTGATGTTGGTGCATTTATGGGCTAATCATTGTTTGTTTTAAATGAGACATTTGATTCCATTAAAGGTAATCAGGCTTTATTATGAATGAAAACATTATTCAATTTCACGTTAGGACCCTAGTTAAATGTGTGCAAACATGATTATTACAATAATTCTATTTATTTTGTGCCAGGTATTGTGCTAAGCGCTTTACCTGTGTCATTATATTTAATCCTCATAATAATAGAAAATAAATTCCTTGGAGCAAACAGAAGCAAAACCTCCACTGCTTCTGTGTCAAGGAGGAGGGGAGACACATTTAGTTCACTATTAAGTCCCCAGAACTGAAAATGATGTCTGGTATACAACAGGCATTCAATAAACACACACTGAAATAAGTATTTGAGTGAAAGAATGAATGAATGAAAGGGTGAATAAATTACAGCCTTATCAGGTGGATATTATTAGTTCCATGTAGCAAATAAGGAAAAGGGTCCACAGAGACTATGTGTGTATGGTCACAAAGGAGAGCATGGAGACCTGTGACTTGCACATCACTGTGTCTGATTCCAGGTGGTTCTGAAACCAGATTCTCAATGTTGGCTGCCCCCCAGAATCACCCGGACAACCGGAAGCCCAGGATGCCCTGGTTAAATAAACGCTCCATTCATCAGAATTTTCTAGGTGACAGTAGTTTTTTAAGCTCCTGGGCAAGTCCGATTCCATGTACCAAGAGGTCTTCTACTATTTAGAACCAGAAAGGGGTCCAGTCTTCAGATTCTATATGAGGTCTCTAAGGACACATGTTTCCTTACGGCTCCCTGCTTCTGAACATGGGTTTCCCTCCACAACGGAGGCTGATCCTGCCAAGCCCAAATGCTTACTAACTAACTAGGCTCCAAGAGTCAGGACCCCTTCTCTTGGTGTTTGTCCTGGTTCATCCACAGCTCCAACGATGAAAGGAATGTTCCTGCCTTCTGTCCCTACATAACTCCTCATCACCAGAATCCAGTGCTGATCACTAAAGTGTGTTCCCTTAACCATCTCTTCCACCTGGGCTCTCAGAGTCTCACACACTGTGCTCGGTCTACTAATATATCCAGCACAAGGAGAGCATGGAGACCTGTGACTTGCACATCGCTGTGTCTGATTCCAGGTGGTTCTGAAACCAGATTCTCAATGTTGGCTGCCCCCCAGAATCACCCGGACAACCGGAAGCCCAGGATGCCCTGGTTAAATAAACGCTCCATTCATCAGAATTTTCTAGGTGACAGTATTTTTTTAAGCTCCTGGGCAAGTCCGATTCCATGTACCATGAGGTCTTCTACTATTGAGAACCAGAAAGGGGTCCAGTCTTCAGATTCTATATGAGGTCTCTAAGGACACATGTTTCCTTACGGCTCCCTGCTTCTGAACATGGGTTTCCCTCCACAACAGAGGCTGATCCTGCCAAGCCCAAA